TGGATTGCACAAAATAGGAATATTGGACCAGTGGAACGAGATATGAGATCTTGATTAAAACCAAATCCTCTATAGCCCTAATCTTGACAAAGCAGACAAAAACATGCTGGGGAAAAGAATCCCTTTTCAATAAATGGTGCTGGGAAACTGGAGTAGCCACTGTAGAAGGCTAAAGCGGGACCCACACCTTTCACTCTCACAAAATCAACTCACGCTGGGAACAGACCTTAAACCGTGAACGGTATGAACATTAGGAGATTCTAGAAGAAAAAAGGTTGGAGAAACCTCTCTTAGACATCGGCCTAGGCCAAAGAGTTTAGAGAAGTCCCCAAGGCAATGTACAGCAGCAACAAAATAAATAAATGGGACATGATCAAACTAAAAGCTTGGCACAGCAAGAATAAGCATGAAGAGTAACAGACAACCTACGAATGGGAGGAAATTTTTGCATCTACGCATCCGAATAGGGCTGATAACTAGAATATACTTAGAACTCTCAAAATCAGCACCACAAAATCAAATAACCTATAAAAGTGGGCAAAGGACTTGAACAGAAACTTTCTAAAGAAGACAGAGAATGGCCAACAACCATATGAAAATGCCAACATCTCTAATCATCAGGGAAATGCAAATCAAACCACAATGAGATATCACTTAACTTCTGTGGAATGGCCTTATCAAAAGTCTCCAAACCATAATGCTGGCGTGGATGCAGAGAGAGAGGAACACTCATACACTGCTGGTGGGTCTGCAAACTAGTTCAACCTCTATGTAAAGTAATATGGAGATACCTTAAAGTGATACAATGAATCTACCATTTGATCCAGCAATCCCATTACTGGGCATCTATCCAAAAGATCGAATGACACTCTACAAAAAAGACCTGCACCTCGAATGTTTATAGCAGCACCATTCATAATGCAAGGCTGTGGAATAGCCCAGTGCCCATCAATCCAAGATGGATTAAGAAAATGTGGCATATGGTATACCAGGAGTACTATCAGCTCTAAGAACAATGGTGAATAGCACATCTTATAGTTCCTGGTTAGTACTGGAACCCATACTATTAAGTGAATTTCCCAAGCATGGAAAAACAGCCACATATACTCACCAGCAACTGGTATTAACTGAGCAGCACCTAAGTGGACACATAGGACTACAGTATAGGTATTGGCAGGAGTGGGGCGGTATATACATATATATGAGTGAGATGTGCACCATCGGGGATGGTCATGGCTGGAAACTCAGACTTCTGGGGGAAGGAGGAAAGGCATTTATTGAAACTTGTAAATC